TATAAAAAATTTTATCTCTTTTAATTTTGTAATTGTTACTTTTGTGCATTAAAATTACCATCTTTTAAATATCTTCTATGTACAGGTGCGCAAAAAAAGATATCACGATAAATAACTTTTGTTCTAATGATCAAATTTTCATTTTTTTAGTGTCAATCTAAATGGTTTCTAGGGGTAACCTCAAATATGCTAATTATTAAGTGCTAACCATTAATTAAGTTATGAATCAAACACAAAAATGTATTTTCTCTGCATTAACATATATGTTTTTTTGCATCTTTGGATTCTTAACCTTTCAAATATAGGAGGTAACCGGAATCTGGCAGGGTTGCCACTCCACAGGGAAAACCTGGAAAATACAGGAAATTTAAAAATCACCTAAAATAACAGGGAATTTTGATTTTTTCTTTACAAACTGGGAAAATACAGGGAATTTTTTTTCTAATTTTTGTCTTTTAAAAAATGGTGACCACTCAAAGCGTAATCTATGGGATGTTTAACCATGATATTTCAGCTATACTAAACTATTTCATTTACTATAGCATTATTTAAGTATGATCAGCTGTTTTTCCAGCAATTAAAACTAATAAATATAATTAGCTGAACAATAACTCACACAAGAGCCGAGTAATTGTTGTTTTCTCTTAATATATTGTGCATAATATGTACAGGGAAAACACAGGGAATTTTTTTTCTATATTTGAGTGGCAACCCTGTACTAAAATGATATACTAATACATTATGATTTATTTATGGAATAACAATTTTGTTAATTTTTTTAATTATATTTATTTGTAGTATATATTTCAATTTTAGGAATAATTTTGTATCAAAAATGTGTTTTTGTCCTCTCATGTTGGAAAATATAGTTTTTTGCCACTTTACTTGGCAAAAACCTATTTTTGCTATGACGGTTTTTACCATGGTTTTTTTCATCTGCGGCAAAATCTTGCTAAACCTATCGCTAAGTCTTGGTGACTTTCCGCTTTGGTCCGCGAGAAACTGAAGTAACATCACCGAAAGGGACCAACTCAAAAAGTCTAAATTGTAGCCACCCTCAGGCAAACCCTTGCATGTCTTATATATATTTATATATATATATAAAATTTGAAAGTTCAAAATACTTTCCATGTCTTGGCGATTGGAGTTGGTGCAACAGATCCAGATGTAAAAAATTTCCTTCTGTATTTGCGCAGAGCTGATAAAAATATTTAATAATAATTTTAAATATTTGTATTCGAATGCCTGCTTTTAAGTTTCATTTCATCAGTCCTGTATAATATCCGAAAATAAGCTTGTTTAAAGAAAGTTAATTTTTTTTTCGAATTCCCTAGGAAAAGAAAAATTTATTTTTAAACTTTTTTCCAATGAATGCAAATGCTATTTAAAATTGAATTAAAATCATTCACCTTATTTAAAATCGCATATTGCAATTCCTATTTACACAATTTAAGATCTTGCATTGTGTTACCTATTTTCACGGAAATTAAAAACTACTCTTATGATTAGTGTTCAAGTGACTTAAAAATTATACATTGAAATACATGTTTATGCGATTTTAAAATTAAGCATCAACGTTTGTGTTCATGTAATTAGAAAATCAAATGTAATAAAAAAATGGAGTGAATCAATATAGAGTTCTATAAAAGTAAAACATTTTTTTTAAGAATCTAGTTTTAAAAACAAATTTCGCCAATATGAGATGACGAGGAAAGGATTACATCTAGTAGTTACAAGAGAATATGTCCAAAATTTCTTATTCTTAGGTCTAAAATGTAAATTTAAAATTTTTTCTAGCAATTGGGGATAAAAACACTTCATATAAGTTTCGGTTGGAAATTAAAAATATGCTATAAATCTTATTTTCCTCGAGATTTTGGGGGACCTGAATTATTCATTGTAATTATTTTTACTGTTAACATTTCTAAACTTTGAAATGTGACTATGCGTTTTTTCTCCCTCTCCGATACGCGAGAAAAGCATCTTTTTAATATAATTCTGAATAAAAGATAAAAAAAATCTGTAGAAAATAAAAGCAGAAGTTTTTACTTCTCAAAGGAAAAAAATCTTTCTGCAAGAAGTCTGTAACGTTCTGCGACTATGCCGCCATGATTCTCCCATGGGGTTCTTGGTACTTTTCCATTTTGCTGCTTAAGACATAGTCATCACAGCAAAGTCACCAGATGCAGGTAGATTCAGCTGGTTCTTATTTCTTTAGGTGACAGTTATATTTTACTGTAACAATGACTAATTTTTTTAGGTGATTGCTTTAATAGTTGAATTTACTTGCATTGACAAAAGGGAAAAAGTTTTCAATTTATATAAAAAAAATTGTAACTAATATTAATATGTGATTACAATGACGACAATGATTTTTTAAAAAAAATATGTTAAGGTTGGTCTGGGGGTGGCATCGAATTATATCTTTCTCGTTGTACCCCTTCTACTTTCTTGTGATTGACTATGTGGTAGACATCATAACTCAGCATTTATTTTGGCGTGAATAGCAATACAATTTCTTTTTTTTTTTATGGCAATAATGTACTTCTCTTAAAGTAATACATAACCATGAGCAAGATAAAACTTGCATATTTAGAATCAGGGTTGGCAAGATTTTGCCGCNAGGTAAAACGGTAGTTTCACAAATTCAACTTTGGAAAAACAGTAGTTTCACAAAATACTTTTTCTTAAAATTTTATTTTTGTATCCCTTAGAAACGATAAATCTATATTTTTACCATGTTTTTGTGTTGACTTTTTAATATAATTTTTAATTTTTCACAAATTATGTCAAAATTTTCACAAAATAGGTACCTTTCAGAAAAACCTAGACAGACCCCTGACATCATAACTCAGCATTTATTTTGGCATGAATAGCAATAAAATTTCTTTTTTTTATGGCTATAATGTACTTCTCTTAAAGTAATAAATAACCATGAACAAGATAAAATTTGCATATTTTGAATTAAGTGAGTCAGTATCATAAGTTTCATTTAGTTAAGGCTGTTTCTAAAAAAACTAAACTTAATACTTTCTCAAAACAACTCTAAAAGTGGAAACCTAAAACAATTAAAATAATTATTGTTGGATTTCTTGATTCTTTAAAAATTCTTAATACAGTACAAAACCCGTTATCCGGAAATCGGAAAACCAAAAAACCGGAATGAAATTCTATAAATTTTCCTGCCATTTTTTTCAAGAAATTTTTTTTGCTCATTAGATTTTAGTATTTTTCTTTCTTTTTTGAAAGATGTTTACCTTACCANTTTTGCCGGTTTTTACCAGGTTTTTGCCACTGTCCTGGCAAAAACCCCTTTTTGCCGGCAAAAACTCCAACCCTGTTTAGAATTAAGTGAGTCAGTATCATAAGTTTCATTTAGTTAAGGCTGTTTCTAAAAAAACTAAACTTAATACTTTCTCAAAACAACTCTAAAAGTGGAAACCTAAAACAATTAAAATAATTATTGTAGGATTTCTTGATTCTTTAAAAATTCTTAATACGTTTATATAACTTCATTTTTTTACTAGTTCTGTTATATTAATGATAAAAGTATATAGGTTGCTATTACATGTAATTAATTTTTTTAAAATCATTGTTAAGCATGAAATTTGCTTATGTATTGAGTGTTATGCATTTCTTTCTGTAATAAATCTAACCATTTCAGCAAAATTTGCTGAAAGCTAAGTTTTGTAATGAATTGACTTATTTTAATCGCTTTCAAAAATTTCAATATATGAAACAAAATATCTTTTTTGCAGACTTCAAGAAGATCCACCTGCAGGTGTCAGTGGAGCTCCTACTGATAATAATATTATGATATGGAATGCTGTTATATTTGGGTATTTATAATTGATTTATTTTTTACTTTATAATTATTTAATCAAAACTTACTATTATCAGGGGTCTGTTCAGTGTAAATTTACTACCGTTTAGTGATACCTTCACAAATACAACTTTAGGAAATACGGTATTTTCACGAAATACTTTTAAAAACAGCAAGTTCTCGTGCTAGTTGCAATCTATGGAAAAGAGCTTTTCTGCCAGCTGTCTTTTACAAAAAGGTCAGATAGTGCATTGTGGTAAGCCTAACTGGTCGCTTACGCCATATCAAGGCAAGCTTCTTTTTTTTCCACTGAGTTTTTAATAATGAAACGATGATCCCTTTATTAACTTTCAGGGTGTGTAGAGTTTTTTAAAAAGTGCTTAAAGGTGCTCATTTTCGTTTTTTAAAAGCCCTTAAAGGTGCTTTTTTCCGTGGGTGTTTTTAAAAAGTGCTTAATTTTCCCTTTTCCGAAATGTGATATTTTTCTTCACCATGTTGATTTTCGACACAAATTATGCAAAAAGACATTGTCCTATTTAACATTTTCACAATTTAACCCCAATCTATTTCGGTTTACCGCCGGTCTTTAGTGTGTGAAACACCGTTTGTTTTACATGTTTGATGAAATACTTGCGGATCCGTGCTTGCGTATACTGAGCTGGATTAAGTGGTAAGGATTTTTGACTGCTACATTTGCAGGAGATTCTCAATTTCAGACTTCATTTTCCACGCTCTGTAATAGAATAAAAAAATATCTTGAATTTTTGCTGATTACGGGGACCAACTAAACCTAGTCAATTTAGTCTTCAATAGAGTCTTGTCAATTTAGATTTCAATAGAAAATTTCATTTCTCTTGTTAATTTCATCATTTGTAACACGCCATCGTCTTCGTCACTGTAAATAAAACCATCAATTATCAAAAACTTGCTAACCCTGTCTAATTATGATGGTTTTCAAAGTGCTTACAAATATTTTTTGAGTGCTAAAAAGGTGCTTATTTTTGGTTGAAAAGTTTGGCTATGCACCCTGACTTTATAGGAAGTCTAAATTCGAACATTATTCTAAACATTTGAACGTTATCTTAAAAACTATTGTAAATTTATTCTATCAGACCTTTATTTTTTAAGAAAATATTTTTTTTCTGCGAAATTTTTTTTGTATGACCTAGTCGAAAATGTTCTCATAATGAAAATAACTTTTAGTGCTAGTACTGTTAGATGCATGTTTTTTTAAAAATATTCAGGTTGAAATTTAACTATCGACAATGATTTTATGGGTTTTTAAATTTTGGTACAATTTTAAGACCAAGGTTTTACAATAGCAAAATTATTTTTGAATATGAGGGGAAAAGTATACAGAAATTTACCTGTCATAAATAATTTTTATTTATAATGACTATTTTTGAAAATATTTTCTTACTTAACCATATTTTTGTGTTGATTTTTTAGTATAATTTTTAATTATCACAAATTATGCCTAAATTTTCACAAAATAGATACAAAAAAAAANATCTTTTTTGCAGACTTCAAGAAGATCCACCTGCAGGTGTCAGTGGAGCTCCTACTGATAATAATATTATGATATGGAATGCTGTTATATTTGGGTATTTATAATTGATTTATTTTTTACTTTATAATTATTTAATCAAAACTTACTATTATCAGGGGTCTGTTCAGTGTAAATTTACTACCGTTTAGTGATACCTTCACAAATACAACTTTAGGAAATACGGTATTTTCACGAAATACTTTTAAAAACAGCAAGTTCTCGTGCTAGTTGCAATCTATGGAAAAGAGCTTTTCTGCCAGCTGTCTTTTACAAAAAGGTCAGATAGTGCATTGTGGTAAGCCTAACTGGTCGCTTACGCCATATCAAGGCAAGCTTCTTTTTTTTCCACTGAGTTTTTAATAATGAAACGATGATCCCTTTATTAACTTTCAGGGTGTGTAGAGTTTTTTAAAAAGTGCTTAAAGGTGCTCATTTTCGTTTTTTAAAAGCCCTTAAAGGTGCTTTTTTCCGTGGGTGTTTTTAAAAAGTGCTTAATTTTCCCTTTTCCGAAATGTGATATTTTTCTTTACCATGTTGATTTTCGCCACAAATTGTGCAAAAAGACATTGTCCTATTTAACATTTTCACAGTTAATTTAACCCCAATCTATTTCGGTGTACCGCCGGTCTTTAGTGTGTGAAACACCGTTTGTTTTACACGTTTGATGAAATACTTGCGGATCCGCGCTTGCGTATACTGAGCTGGATTCAGTGGTAAGGATTTTTGACTGCTACATTTGCAGGAGATTCTCAATTTCAGACTTCATTTTCCACGCTCTGTAATAGAATAAAAAAATATCTTGAATTTTTGCTGATTACGGGGACCAACTAAACCTAGTCAATTTTTTTTCTCTATTAGCAGTAGAAAATTTCATTTCTCTCGTTAATTTCATTTGTAACACGCCATCGTCTTCGTCACTGTAAATAAAACCATCAATTGTCAAAAACTTGCTAACCCTGTCTAATTATGATATTTTTCAAAGTGCTTACAAATATTTTTTGAGTGCTAAAAAGGTGCTTATTTTTCGTTGAAAAGTTTGGCTACGCACCCTGACTTTATAGGAAGTCAAAATTCGAACATTATTCTAAACATTTGAACGTTATCTTAAATACTATTGTAAATTTATTCTATCAGACCTTTATTTTTTAAGAAAAAAGTTTTTTTTCTGTGAAATTTTTTTTTGTATGACCTGGTCGAAAATGTTCCCATAATGAAAATAACTTTTAGTACTGGTACTTACTGTTAAATGCATGTTTTTTTTTTTTCAAAAATTCGATTTGAAATTTAATTATCGACAATGATTTTATGGATTTTTAAATTTCGGTACAATTTTAAGACTAATGTTTTACAATAGCAAAATTATTTTTGAATGTGAGGGAAAATATATATAGAAATTTACCTGTCATAAATAATTTTTATTTGTAGTGACTATTTTTGAAAATATTTTCTTACTTAACCATATTTTTGTGTTGATTTTTTAGTATAATTTATAATTTTCACAAATTATGTCTAAATTTTCACAAAATAGATACCACTAAAAAAAAACCCCTGATTATATATTTTCTTTGCTGATATTAAGAATTTTTTGTATTTTTCCAAAATGAATGAAAGCAGACTAATTTGTTTTTATTTATATCGTTATACATATAACATAAAAAGATAACTTTTCTAAACCATTTTTCATTTCTTATAATAAGCACATTCTTGTTGACCTGACAATCATATGGATTGGCCTGAAACCATTTGAATTTACTCCTTAATTAACAAAGAAGAGAAATTTCTTTAGTTTGCATAAAATAATTTTATACTTGTAAAATGTTTCTTTAGCTTTATGCGCTGCTGTTATTTTTTGGTCATTTCTTTTTCATTGCCAATTATTTTTTGGCACAGTTTTATTTGCTAATTTAGTTGCTTGCTATACTTGGAAAATAATTAGTTATATTAACAAAAATGTTTCAACATCAAAAATTTTAAATTTTATTCTGGAATTTTTTGGGTATTTAAATAAATGCTTGTGACGTATATTTCAATATTATTTTTTCAATTTCAATCCAGAGTTTGCTCCTTGAGTATTTTGAAACCTTGAAATTTGTTTTTCCCCCGATTCAGATTTTATGGACATGAACCGTTTTCACCCTTGATCTTTATATTAACATTTATTATCTGCGAAAGCACAAATTCAACCTAAACTCCACATTGGCAGCTTTATCGCCATTTTTAGCTAGCAGAAAAATTCGTCAAAAATTACCGTAGAGTACCTTTAACTACAATTTCCTTTACAGACAAAGCAGCTCCTTTTACTACTATGTTTATTTATTACTTTTTTTTAGTAATATCCCCTGCCATTGTTACATTTTTGACTTTTATTATTTCTAAGTTAAAGCTTAGTTAAAAGCGATATACATCTATCATAAAGTAATCCCTTGATACCACTTTACTACACAATATTTTATGATAAACTTTTATAAAACAGCAATAACTAGTTAAACATTATACAATTATTAAACAGAAGTCAAATAAATTAGACTCTAGTTAGCATATACAATAAAATAAAAAAAATAATAATGCAAAATTGTAGATCATTGCTAGGAATTTATTTTTTGTGCTCTTACAAAATAGTTTCCTTGGCGAAAAATTAAATCTGAATTTGAAAATTAATTTTAAATGATGTTGGACAGTATAACTTGTTTTTGATATCAGGCCCCTAAAAAAAAATTCTATGTTGGCCCTCAACATAGAATTGTGCAAAAAAATTTCCAGCTATCTGCGACAAAACTCTCCAGCACTAATATCTTTCTTCAAGATACTTTTAATAATAACAAACATGTATGTTACAAATTTAAAATAACAAAAGCGTTGTGTTTACAAAAAAAAACTACCGTATATTCTGGCGTATAACGCGCACTTTTAATACAAAAAATAACATTGGAATTTACGGGTGCGCGGTATACGCCGAATATAAAGAATTATAGATTTAAAAAAATTTAAATATAGAAAAATACTTTTCTTTTAAAGAAATAACATTCCTTTACCAATATACTTTATTGATTTTCTCTATTACATAAATAGTTCATTATCTCTGAATCACATTATTACTCTTTCAACTGTACCCTCACATACATGTCAAATTCAATTCTTTTATTTTTGTAAAAGATAGGGAAAAAGACTTTTTATTTACGATCTTGAAAGACGAGATATTGCAAATGTACAATCCAAATTTTCGTGCGTGTTATACGAAGAGTATATCTTAAAATTTAAAAATGCGTGTTTGGTTTCGAGATTACTTGGAGTAATAAATTATATCGCATAAAAAATATCGGATTTAAAAACTATGGAGAAATCAATAACAATAACTGCCAAAAACTCGATCGAATTACTGCCTTAAAAAGTAAATACTCAAATGCACGATTCGAATTTTCCATATTGTTAGAAATATGTCGGAATATTTAAAATCCACGTGAAAATGA